CACTAGAGAGAATGCAGCTTTAACACATGAAGCTTTGACTTCACTCGCCCTGGTTTGACGTTGGCTTATTACTGAAGGTGCACTAGCATACATAGCTAATTCTGCAGCTGGAGATACCGCTAGCAGGGATTAAAGACGGTCTTTAGTGGTGGAAAAAAAAACTTATATTCCTGGACCCAAACACAACTTGTAAACTCAAACATCAGCATGCTAATGATGCTCAATGTCAATGAGCAAATGCAAAGCTTTGAATTTGGAATTTAGAATGTATAAATTATGATTGCGAACATGGTAAACATACCATCTGCTCATCTATGATTGTGGGATTGTCTCCACTCGGCTATAAACATTGCGGCGGCTGAGCCAGTTGTCGAGATATTCGGTCAAAACCACGAATGTTAACCTCATTCTGGTGCTAAAAGCCAGAATATTAAAGTCATTAAGATGCTTCGTCTGGCTTATGTCATAGGATTTGCAGGTATTTCATCATAAACCAAAGTATGAGATACATTTGAATATTGACCCGATGGTTTATCCACTGGATGAATGTCTGTTTGATGGATTGCTAGGAACTTTCGCACAGTTAGCAAGATCTTTCAGTAAAAGCTAAAGAAACCATCAACCCCCTCGTGGTGCTTGAAGAACAGTCAGTGGGTCCGCGTTCATGGTCGCCTCTGGGAACCATGAACGTGTGACTGAAGTATCTCAACAGCTGTTGGGTGGATCTCCATGACGTTTTGCAGAATGTGTGGCAGTAACTGTCCGACATCGCCATACCTAAATCCATGCTGCTAGCGTGACTACATCACTTCATGGGAAATATTTTAGTGAAACAATTATGAAATTATTATTAATTATTGAAAATTAAGAATGTCTGGAATGATATGAAGAAACTCAACGCTTTCTGAACTCCGTCAGAGTTCAAAATGCACAAATGTCTGAAAATAAGAAAAGCGTATATTGATGATTTGATCCTTGATTACCCAACAGGAACTAGGTCCCAGATCCAGGTCTCAGGGAAGAATGTCCTGACGGTCTCCTTCTTCTTCTTCTCCTCCTCCTCCTCCTCTTTACCTGTCAGCAGACCACCTGAGCTCTGTGACATCTTGTTGGCCATGGGGATCGGAGAGTCTACGTAGTCTAGGAACACATGAGTTTAAAAAAAAAGTCTGATTACACAACTAAACTTACCCAACGGACACCAGCTCCCAAATCCAGGTCTCAGGGAAGTATGTTCTAACAGTCTCCTCTGTATCTGCTTCTACGAACGTGTCCGCTTCAGCAGGAATCGTAATGTCCTGAAGCATTTCAATCCCACCTGATTCTTGAATTTGACAGTAAATCATTTCTTGTCGGGTCAATATGAATGGTACACATTAGTGGGAAATCATAAAACATACCGGAGTCATAGTATAACATTTCAGGGACCATTTTATGGCAGTTATGAGGTTTCTTCACATCAGAGTTGGTCACAATTTTGATTCCTATTTCCTAGAAAAGAGAAGAGAGAGACAGACAGACAGACAGAGAGAATGAAACCAAATACTAATAAGAGAAGCCTTCTATATGAAGTAATAGGATTTGGTCAGTACTGATGAACACAGAATGAAACGTTACCGGTTTTAAATGACCCAGATAAATATACAACTGACCACAAATGATATGATAAATGTCAACCTCTTTTTCAGCATTGTATTTCTTTAAAGCCAATCAAAATGTTCTACTTTAAAGATGCTGTAGACATCATTCTTCTGATTGGTCGGTCCAAAGTAGACCGAGCGCTTCGCTCGACCGGCTGCATCGACAATCTCCGGTTGTGGTTCGGGTATTGGCTCAGGGATGCAGGGATACGGCTCAGAGTCTTCCACCTCGTAGGAGTATCCCGACAGCTTCTGTAGAGGCAGCCGGCTGTACACCTGCATCGAAACACGCACGCACGCACGCACGCACACACACACACACACACACACACACACACACACACGAGCCGGGGAATAGTTACAACAATATGAACAACTATAGTAATAATAATAATAATTCTCAGATATCAAGGCATTCATCTTTTTACAATAAAACCTCCATGTTCAGGTGTTAAAAGCATCGATTGTTAACTTGGGTCAAACTAGCGCTGAAGATGGTGTCGTACAGAGTCGATGGTGAGCTCCTGCTCCGGCTGCAGCAGCAGGACGCTCTGGTCGATGGCCCTGACGGAGCACATGGAGCCTGAGTGAGCCTTCAGACTGAGCGTGGTCTTCTCCGCTGGAAGCTCCTGGAGAGAGGAGAACTTCAGGGACACCTGAACACAGGAGACACCAACGGTGGAGAGTCATTAGTCTCAGTTACTATAAAACTCACGGTTCAGATTGGCACAAAAGAAAACAAGGGAGCAAATGTAACTTATACCGATACTAATAACTGATCATTGATGATCAACAGAAACTAATCCCTTTGTTGTTTGATTAGAGCAGCTGGTCTACCATCGTCCCAAAAATCATTTCAACCGACCTGAAGTCTGAAAACATCAAAAATTCGAAATGTCATCCTTTTACTTTGTTATATTAATTTATAGTTTTTTTAAATGATAAGGAAATAAAAGATTGTAGTATTTTTATTGATTCAAATAAATCTCTTCATTATTATGTTTACTGAAGTATAGTAATGTGCTTAGAGCTCGTGTTACGAAGTTAAACAGCTCATAATTCATCTCTGATATCCGTTTTATATTCATGTGAAAACATCTCCTTCAAACTACTGGATTTATTCTAGTTTATCACCAAAACTACATTTTACAGATGACATGTGAACACATCATGATAACGTTATAATGTACCTTCAGCCAGTACTCATGTTCGCTGAGCAGAGCCTGAAGGCATCATCATGTAACTGAAGTGAACCTCCGTTGGTTAGCCGTTAGCGGTGCTGCTAACGTTACTAGCTCTCCTCCT